GTTGCCATCCCTCGGCCAGGGAGATGTGTTAATCCATTACAAATACGCGATGTCGCACACACACACACACGCACACACAGTTTCGCTTTCATCTCGACCCTTGAGGTAGATATTACTTTCTCCGACTTGCGTTTTAATTGCCAGCCCGAAACTGTAAATGACACCCTCATAAATTGGCCTCGACCGGCAGAGTTCACTGGGGTCAGAGTCGGGCTCTCGGTGTCCAGCTGTCAATCACATTCGAGTTGACTTGAGTTGACTCGAGTTGACGAGTGCATAAAAAAGGAAACGATCGTTTAACGACAGCCATCAAAACTGCGAGCTGCAAAATCGCAGCGCAGCTCTTTCGGCCAGGGGCGGGCATTTAATGAGCTCCACTGTGTGGGCGTGGCATCGAAGCATCCAGCTGGGCTCAGAAAGGAAGTTGTTGAAATCTTGTGATGCATTAAAATTTGCAAGTTTTCGACTTTGCTTTGTTTCTCTGCTCCTGCTGCCTCTACTCCTGCTGCTGCCGACTTCTGCTGTTGCTGCTGACATTTGTGTGTCAGTGGCACGTTTTGCATGCTTTTAGGCTCACACACATACACACACACACACACACACACACACACACACACACTCGCAAATTATGCAAATGTCGCTTTTCTGCGTAGCTGCTTCGTTTTTTATACCCTGAACCCATTGAAAATGGGAAATCAGGGTATAATGGTTTTGTTGAAATGTATGTAACAGGCAGAAGGAGGCGTGGCAGACCCCACAAAGTATATATATTCTTGATCAGGGCGACGAGCTGAGTCGATTTGGCCCTGTCCGTCTGTCTGTCTGTCCGTCTGTCCGTCTGTCCGTNATTTGAGTTTTGCCAGCGCCACTAGCAGGAGTGAGGTGGCCTAGTGTGTTAGCAGCATGACGCTCGATCGAGGAGTCGCGGTTCGAATCCCGATCGATGCAACTGATGTTAATTTTTTTTAATTGTTTCAAAATATTTTTATATTTTATTAAATGAGTTTGGTATTTTATTTATATTTTTAAATACATCGAAATTGAAATTTCAGCCATACTAAATGAGCATTTTTATTTGTTGGGTTCAGGGTAGTATCTAGTCGAGCACTCTCGACTAGAGTTTTCTTACTTGTTTTAATGAGCACACAGAGACTCTTACGCACACACACAAACAATCACAACCGCAGCCCGCAGAGCGTAAAGCAAACGAGTTGTTGACTGTGTCTGTGTATGTATGTGTGTGTGTGTGTGTGTGCGTGCTCGCGTTCCTTATTTGTGCTGCTGCCTTGACTTGCGCCTGCAAAGCAATTAAAATGAAATAAGAAATCCCTTGCCAGTGGCAAGCAATAGACAACTGCCACGCCCACAATTGGCAAGGCAACAAATGTGGGCAATGATTTGTCAATCAAGTATTATGCTTGCCATCGAAAGGTAAGCGGCAGCTGAGTAGGTGCCGGCAACAGTTAACTCACTTGTTAGCCATTTGTCGTGTTGGCAGAATGAAATTGAATTACTTTAAGCCAGAGCACGACGTGCATGTTGCCAAAGTCATTCCCAAATATGTTGCGAGCCTCGCGTGACTACATTTTCAGCAGGCAACACTTAACGAAAGCAACATGTGCCTAGCAACATGTTGCCCTGGCGTGCTGAGACCGCAGCACTGAAGACTTCTGACATTTGCTGTCGCTTTGTGGTGTAGCTGTCAAAGTTGACAGCCAGTTGAACTTCCTGTCAAGCAAAAATAAAGACAAAAGACTTGCGTTTCAGCCAGCTGACGTGCCTATCAAGCCGTTAGCATTGACATGTCAGAAAACTAACTCAGTTTTGCGAAATGTTGATAAGCCAGCAGACAGATTGAAAATGAACGACAAATCCTAGTTCGAATAAATGTACATTAAATACTTTAACTTTAGCTTGGGTTGACTGTTTATAGATTTGAGCAGCTCTTCAGGGTCTGTCTATATTAATGTATATTATTATTAATGCTAATAAAAGTTGTATATATAAGGAGCTCTAGATATATTTGTTGTACTTCTCAGCTAAGATTAACAAATTTGGAATTAAGAATATGAATTAGTTCACATAGATATATCTGACCTCATTTTAAATAAATATAAGGATTTTTCACACTTAAGCAATGCATTGCAATGCCCAAAATGAACACAGGGTGCAACAGTTACAGGGTGTCATCTATATCAAACTCATTTCTTTTAGAGATATACGTACAATATCCAAACTGAACACAGGGCGCATCATTCGCAGGGTGTCATCTCTACCTAACTCTTTTTCTCTGAGAGATATACCTTCAATATATAAAGTGAACACAGGGCGCATCATTCACAGGGTGACATCTCTACTCTATTAATGCCTCCATTTCCATACAAATTGAACTAGTTTATTAAGTATACATCAGCTCCATCTAATCAGATTAGTAAATGCTTTGAGTTTTGCCCCACTGTGCGCCGCTGAAGTCCGATTAAGCCCCATTCCTAATGCCCTTACTGACCTGCCTAAGCAGTTGACATTCAGAAAGAGTTCATTGAATTATAATTGCATAACTGTATTTGGCTCTGGTCGCTTGAGTGGGATTAACGGAGAAAATCATTCGCTTTTCTAGGAATCAATTTCAGCATTGATTTCCGCGTAACTGTGAACCTGTTGGCCAATGCAATCGTCTTGGGCTTCACTTAATTAACCGAGCGAAGACTTTGACGTCTTTATAGAAATTGAAATGGATTAGTTAACGAGAGGTCATTGCTCTTTGGGGCTGTAGCTGTGACACAGCTGGGTCATAATCGTCCTTGCTGGCACATCGACAGCCCAGCCACACGGCCACACCCACCCAGCCGCCACACAAAGAGGCGAATAATTGACGTTGCTTGTGTGTGCGCTTCATTAATGCTGTTGACCAGCAGATAACTCAATTTGTGTTTACTTATGGCCAGGAGCGAGCGGCGAGCGGCGAGCGGCAAGCAAGCCCCAAGCCCCGACTTGGGTTGAGTGACCCAGAGAGAGGTGGGTTTTCGGCCACTTGCTGTCAAATTAGTGCCTAGTTTTGGGCGCATAATTGGCCTGGCCAAAACTTTTAACACGACGCCATCAAAGATTTATGGAAATTATGCATGTTTTTGTTTATGCTCTGCGCAGATTTATGACTGCTTGCAATAAATCACACACACATAGACAGAGGCACTCGCTCTCTTCTGTGTGTGTGTGTGTGTGGGCGTGCTCGAGTTGTCTATTAATTGGTTGCATAAAACAACAGTAAAAAGGCTGTTGCCAAAGGTCAAGTCCATGACAGCATGTCGCCGCAACATGTTGCTGCAACACAGCAGCCGAGCGAGCATGCGGCGCACACGAGCATGCGAGATGAAAGAGAGCAGCAGAAATAAAGGTTAGTGTCGTCGCACAGGCGAGTGTGTGTGTGGGCGGGGGGTTTGACCGACCGAGTGACGAAACGCCAAGCACTCGTCTCGCATTCGTGCCGTACAAGTCAGTCACATCGAACACGGTCGCATGTTGCACGCGCAACATTTTCGATGCTGTTAACAGTCCCAATCGCTTAACATAAGCAGTTGGACCGCACAGCATCCGATTATTTACTATGGCATTAATCCTATCTTGGTAAACGAGTTCCTTCATTAATATTGATACTTTGATTTAATTGATAGTACAATATATTTATAGATTAAAGTCACCGAAATAGAAGGCAATCGATAATATATTGAGAGCACAAGTCTGAATAAGAATGTATTCATTTAAATGAATAATAACATATTAAAATAAACTTGACTGAATGTAAAACAGTTGAGGAGGTTTTAGGCGCGACATACGACTCTCAGGCAACAACAATATGTATATAAAATATATATAATGGGTATATGTAATTGTCTGTTATAATGATGAATTTATTTGATAGTAGTTGGAATTTAATATAGATTAAAAATCTAACCTAAAATTTAGCACTGACTTCTTGGACATTCTGGTATATATTTACTTGATGTTCCCAAAAAGTTTTCCATTTTATTTCTGTTGCTTAATAAATGTTTTTCACTTTCAAATTAACGTCCCGCACAGCTGTTGGTCTGGCTTGCAACTTGGCCCGACGTTCGAGCATTTGGTTCGAGCATTCGGCTCGAACATTCGGTTGGCAGCGCCTGTCGACGGCGTCGCCTCAGTTTCTCATTCGCTTCTCGTACTCGCAGTCGTTCGCACGAGCGCGCGCATTGTTCAGACGGTTTCGCAGACGCGTTTGATAAACAAACTGAATGCTGCTTGTGGCCCAGTGGATGAAGCAAGCCATAGCTGAGACACACTGAGCCTTGTTACTCAGAAGTCGTGAAAGAATCAAATTTTACTCGCATTTTATGCGTTAATTAGGCAGAAGGCTAAACGAAAGGCCAAAATAAAAACAAAACAAAACAAATAAATAAAAATAAAATAAAAGTAAATAGCTCGTAAGCTACTACCGAAATTATTGTCGCTGTCGCGGATGCTGTGTGTGTGGGTGTGTGAGTGTGCGCCTATCCTAACAACCGCATCCCACCCCCTAGGCCAAGCCGGTTCAAAGTGCGTGCGAATAGTCGACGTTGTCCGGGCAGCGGTCGGGTCGGGGCAACTTGGCCAACAGCATTCGCCGTAATTTCGCGTTAAAATAAACACGCAAAAGCAAAAGCAAACCGACAGCAGAAAAAAAAGAGACTTAAAAATTTGCTCAAAGAGCAAAACACAGCAACAACAACAACAAACAGAGCAGTGCATAGCAAAAAATAGAAAAAAAAATCAAATAAGAATTGAAATTTAGGCCAAAAGCGGATTACGAGAATTGTTGCTGCTAACAGAAGCAACAACAACAACAACAACACAAAAGAAAGATTTTCATCTCGCAAAGGCTTTCTGCGTGTGCGTGTGCTTGTGTGCGTGTGCGTGTATAAGTGTGCAAAATAAAAGTGAATTGCAAAACAACAACCACACAAAGAGAAGGAAAACAAACCAAATAGAAATACAAATAAATAAATAAAAAAGTGAATGAAAAATTCAACACATGAAAGGAAACACCAAATACAATCGCCTTAAGCAAATAAACGACAGCCAGCGGCCAGTGAAGCGTGCTGAGATCCAGAGATCTCGATTGAGCAATTGGAATCGAGATTCGCTTTCGCGCTCATTAGTTGGCTGGGTAGGGCGGGCGCCACGCCTCAACGCATGAACGCCTCCAATGTCCATGGCAATTAATTGGCTGCCAAGCAAAACCTGAGCACGAATTGATGAACAAAAGTAAAGCAAATTAATGAAACTCGCTGCTCTCTCCCATACGTATCTGTGTATGTATATGTGTGTGCGTGTGCATGTGCGTGAGTGTGTGCATGTGCGAACACAGTGAACGCAGCCAAGCATCGCTGGCATTTATACACCCGCACAAATAAGTCTGCGCTCGCGTGCTGTCATAATTTATCACAATTGTCAACGTCTGCCATAAGTTGGCCAGCAGAGTGAAAGAGAACGAAATCGAGAGATAGATAGAGAGAGTGAGAGGGGGAGAGAGTGCTGTGTGCAAGTGCATTCATAGCTTCCAAACTGCAGCTGCAAATCTTTCAACATTACAACAAAAGCAACTCGAACTACACAAAAATAAATAAAAACAAATTCATCAAATTCGTCAAATTCTTCTTCTATTGTGTTTTTTTTTTTCTTATGACTTTCTCTCTGTGTGTTTTGGATAAAAAGTTAAAGTACAAATCGCTTTGCTTCGTACCCGGATAAGCCCATCAAAAAGGAGCTAAGGCCAGAGCCAGAGTCAGAGCCAGAACAGACGAAATAAACTTTTTCTTTCTGGATTTCGCAAAGTTCTATGCTAAAACTTGCGAATTAAGTTCAAGTTTATGTTCGGACGGCTGCTTTAAGGAACAGCAATAATTTTTGTAAGTTTGCCAAAGGTAGATAAACAAGTACCTATACATGCATGCATACATACATACATATACGAATGTATATTTGTATTTCGTTATATATTTATTTGAGTCTTTCAGTCTTTAACATAAGAACTGCTTTAATTTAGTTTAACTTCAATTCTAAATATAACAATAAAAAATAAAAACACATTTTTGGTTTATTCATTTTTGGAATTTGTTGGCTAATTGAAAAAAATTTCTAATATGAATGTCAGTGACATAGTTTTTATTTTATAATAATCCTCTGGAATTATAATCTTAAAGGGTTCATTTTTTACTATCACAGCTCTTATGTCGGAATTGCATAAATAAGTTTTCTGCATTCTATATGTAAACGTCATACACAAATGTCAATTATACAGCTTGATTACTCCATGTATTAATAACATGTTTTATATGCAGTTAGATATGTCAAAGTTAGCCTAGGATGAGTTTAAGTAGTAGCTAAGCATTATGTACTGGAATAACAATGTAAATATACATACATATATTGGAGTACTCTACCTCAAGTTTAAGCTTGTACAGCTAAACATCAAGAGCAATCGATTTATACCCTATAATAATATAAAATGGGCTATTAAAGTATAATAGAGGCATTGTAGACCCCATAAAGTATATATGTATATTCTTCATCAGGTCGATGAGCTGAGTCTACTATATAATATATAGTCTACTATATATATACTATATGGTATATAGCCATGATCGACAGTCCGTCCTCATTAATATCCAAATGCTATAAACCACAAAAGCTGGGGACTTGAAATCGAACTCGTATACTAGTATATCCCATGCTTATTTTTGTTCGATAATCATACAATATTCTCGGAATGGATCTAAATAGATAATTTCAGAAAATTGTTAAAAGATGGCAAAGAAAACATTCAATTTAGTGTGTGGGCCTCGTCCAACTAATACACAAGTGAAGGTCGATATTAAACACTAAAACTTGATTAAAAGCACTCACCTAGAAGATAAGTAAACGTAAATACATATAAGCTTCTTCAGCATAATATTATTCTAATAGTTAATTTTATGCAAAATAAAAGGCAAAGTTTTCATATAAAGCCAATTGCTAATGCTCAAGAAGGAATAAGTTATCTAAAGTTATCTAAAAGAATTTAATTTAATTTTGTTAAAAAAGAAAAATCTTTATAAATACTTTTGCAAACTATTTCAAACTGAAAATTGAATAAAAAAAATGTAGGAAAATAAATGTATGTATTTACATATATGCAGTTTATTTATCTAAGACTTGAAGCAATATTTTTATAGTTTGTAGTAAATTTGAATTTTTATAAAACTATGATACGAGCGTTCAATACATGCAAATGTATTTAAAAATCAAATGCTGCAGGAATTTTTATTAATTTTAACGAAAGCTGGATGGTCGAGTCTTGTTTTTGACTAACGACCTAATGCAATTTATGCCGAAAATTTCAAATTTCCATTTAATTGTTGTGCTTTAAGCCAAAATTTCTTGAACAGAATTCAATTTGCCAGCTACGAGGAATTAAGCCGCATGACTTGTTTATTGATAAATTCCAGATTTAAACTGATCAGGGATACAGATAGTTCCAATAAAACGTAATATTAAATTGAATCTAATAACAGCTGAGTAAACAAAAATTGAATAAATTCATTGGGCAAACCTAAAGGCAGATAGTTGTTCCATAATCGTCCTTTGTCTTAGAGAATTTCATTTCGCCGTTATTTACTTCTTTTATGTGTATTAGAGATAAACCAATGCTGAAATGCCGCAGCCAGAAGCCAGAAGCCACACGGCTGAGAAGCTCACAGATTCAGCGCCCAGACAATTGCCCTAAGATCACTTTTGGCTACCTGGAATAAAAGCGACTCAGAGCAGCCACAATCCGACTGCCAGCAGCCAGCAGCCACAAGCCAGCGGCTGGCAGCCGGCAGACCGAGGCTAAGACCAAAGTCTTTGGCTAAGTTCAGCTCGACGTCTTATGGCGCGCCTGCGAGCCAAAAATAAAAGAAGCGAAATCACCATTTGTATATGTAATTTTGCTACACACACACACACATATGTGGCAGCCGTGAGCACACACACACACACTTACCGCACTTATACATATAAACGAGCAAATCACTAAATCCAGTGCACCCTCACCACGCGATAAACTCATATGAATGTGAATGCTGCTCGTGCCGCAGGATATTTGCCAAAGCTAGCAGCAACCCAGACCAGCCCTAAGTCCTATCCAGTGGAGTCCGCAGTGTAGTAGTCTATTAAAACAAATAGAAAAACAACACACACGCACCCACACACACAAATACACACACATAGTGCGCCAAAAATATGAACAAAAGCCACGCACAAAAAAAAAAAAAAAGAAAAATAGAAAAGAAAAATAGTCATTGTGCTCAAATATAGTTGGGTTCCTGCCACAGACGGCGAAAACTAAGCAACAAAAACTCTCAACTTTTCGTTAAAATTCAGAAAAATTGAATTTTTTTCTGAAAATGCTTCAAGCAACATAAGCAACAACAACAACAACAACAAAAACATAAACATAAAATGTTGGCTATATGGAAATGCAAATAATGTATGTATACAACGGTGCATATGCATGTGTGTATATCTACATGCGTGTGTGTGTGGGTGTGTTTGTGTGAAAGTCAGCTTGCTTGTGTATTTGCGCTCAACTAACTAATAAAACTTTCAATATATATTTTATTGGAATTTCTGTTGTCATTTTATGCATAATAAATTTTGAAGCTAAGCTCCAATAAATGCTCTGCTAAATAAAAATATACAGGTGTATGCAGAGCAGGAGGGGTAGAACGTCAAGGAGGTGGTGAGAGAGAGAGAGAGAGAGAGAGAGAGAGTGAGAGGGAACGAGTGAATGTACACAGTTGACAAAATGCAAACAAAATGTGATGTATATGTAAAATA